GGGTCCGGCTGAGGTAGTTCATGTGGGCGAAAGCCTCGAAGCTCGGCTCCACCCCGTGCAGTTCGCACCCGGCCACATAGCCGAGTACGTTGACCCAGGAGTTCGGGGCTAACTGCCATAACCCCAACTCATACCCATCCAAGATCCGCTGAACAGCCGGATGTAGTGGGAAGCGCAGCCCAGCCTTGATGGCCGCCTCGTAGCAGCCAAAGCAGGCGCTATCATAACTGGTACCAGCCGGCCAGACGACTGTGTCTTCTGGATCCGGCACAAACACTAAAAAGCCGGGGCCCATTGTGTGGTTTGCGATAAAACTCTCCAATTTCTCTTGCATGGCCGTGATCCGGCCCCGAGGTACCGTGCAGTAGTAGGGGGTATTTTGCTCTCGGTGAGAGGCGGATGGCTCCGCCCAATCGTCCCCCTTCTCAACTGCGTGAGAAAGCCTCGCCTCTTGCAGGCGACTGTTTTTCTCTTCTGTGTCCAGAGAAGCATGGCCAGAAGAGCTAGACTCGGAATCGTCCTCTGACGAGTCCGAAGAGGACGACTCCTCCCCCCTCCCGGAGGGGCCCGCCTCCTCTCCTTTAAAAGGAGCAGGAGAGAATGTAGAATTGTCAACTATAAAATGGGAAGGGGTCACTTTGACTCCTCCCTCAGAACTGCCGGCTTTCAAGCCGCTTTGGTTCACTTCCACATCTGGCGCCTGGTCAGATGTTTCACTAATCGGCACCCTGTGGGAGGAGCCGTCTGAGTTTGAGATCTTGGCAGTCTTTTTTGTCCTGGCCATCATGCTCTGCATAGACACAGATACAGTCGGACTTTGTGAAAAGGGCAAAGATGGGTCCGAAAAAGGGCAGGCGGCACTCCTAGTCCTAGATTCACTAACCTAGGTCGTGTCGTGTGCTTCCGTGGTGCCATTTCAAAAAAGAATAAAATAAAGAGAAAATTAAGAGTAAGAGAACCGACGGTTACCTGAACGAGTGACGTTGATGGAGTTCTGAAAATCCTGTGCAGTCGGCTTGTCAGAACAGGCGGTAGGCAGAAAGGGTCCAAAATGTCAAAGTAAGTTCAGGGGTCCGAATGTTCTCTCACAAAGTTCTCAAGTGTGAAAATGACCGAAGTCAACACTACTTTATATAGGCAAAGTGAGAAGGCGAAGGGTCACTTCCAGAATTCATAATTTGGGCGGGAGAATCTCTCGGCCTTTCGCCGAGTGACACCTGTAGCAGGCCGTCGCCTGTTACAGTGCGACACCTGTCACAGGTAACACGTGACCAGTCACGTGCCACCTGTGAGGGGCAAATGATTAGGGGATTTTGCTCCCACCAATCACCATCTAACAAGTGGACCAATCAGGTTCCGCCATGTGTCCGTCACATGGGCCAATAGGAACCTGCCACGTGTCAAGCAATGATCCGTCCACCTTGGACCAATTACGACACGACGCGTGTCCTTCCCATGACACCTGGGATAACCGGTCACTTAGGCCAAACTTCCGAGGGAAGCCCAATCAGCCCGAGGTTAACCTAAACCTAGATTGGCACGTTTCCCGAGGTTATAAATACCTCCCTTAATCCTCATTAAGGGAGAGGATAGGCTGATCACGCTAAAAAAGCAGATTACCTACATTAAACACTCTCACCTAGAGAGACCCAATCACTTTAATTTCCGCATTAATTACTCCTTAAACAAGTACTAACTTGATCGTTGAAGGCGGAGCTCCCACCACAAGGAGTCTCCGTTGTTTTGCAGGTACAGGCGTCCGGTTCCAGTCTCGGAATCGTAACTCTCCCGCAGGACATCAGAAAACCCCGAAACAACTACAACAAATCGGTATACCATCTCACCAAATTAAAGAATATTGTAAATCATAACGATATGAAATAGTGAAAGTATAAAGAATATACAATTTGCAACAACGATCATAAACTTACTAATGAAAGGATTTTTTATTTGATTTAGTTTGTCATGATGAACTCTCTTTGTATTTAATTAATTACTCTACTTCTCTAGACACAAAGTTTTAAGAAGAATAGGAAAAATAATATTATTACTCCCTCCGTTTTTTTTAAGTGCCCCATTTGAGATATTGACACTAATCATTAAACATAGTTTGACCAATGTTTGTGAATTATATATAAGAAAAATATAGTCTTATAGGTATTTGTTGGATCGTTTCAATGAGTAGATTATTATTGTGGAAAAATTGGTAAAAACAATCTCAACTTTCACGAATTCGCTTTAAATAATCCAATCTTTAGATTATTTTAAAATTATCCGAACTTTGGGGTATATTCACTTTCTTTGGTCCCTAAACGGTAGCTAATAGGTTTTTGGGACGTACATGTGGCATCACGTGATTAGTAATTTTTTTCTAAAAAAAAAGTTTAAAATAAAAATATTGAAAAAAAAAATGAAAAAAAAAATTTAAAACCGCCCAACACCTCCACGGCTCCACACATAAACCACCTTCGCCACCACCATTGCGGCGCCCGAGACCCCCTCCCCCAACCCCACGTTAGCCAGATCTCCCTCCCTACGTCGGCAGCTCCCCCTACCCACTGCTAGCTCCCTTTCCCCCAAAACCACCAAACCTCCACCCGTAAAACCACCCAAAATCCCCTCTTCCCGCCACATCAAACCCCCAACTGTCCCTTCTCCACCATCGGAACCCCTGGCGCTAGGATTCTTATGATGGAGGAAGGGATGGTTGGGGATTTTACGCAACAGATGGTTGTTTTTAGGAATTTTGGGGTTTTAATTACTGTTGGTGGTATATGATGGTTTTGGGAAAGGGCATCGACTATCGGCTAGGGTGGTGTCGGCATAGGGGAGGAGGTCTGGGTGCAAGGTGGCGGTCGGGGATCTGCTGGGTTGGGCGTTGCCGAAAATGGGCGGTGGTTGGGGTTGCGTTAGTTGGCTAACTTTTTTTAAAAAAAAATTAACTAATCATGTGGTGCCACGTGTTAGTCAAACCCCCTCAAAAATTACCTCTTGAACATGTTACCGGTCATATGGGACCATTTTGAGAGAATGACCCCTAAAGTTCTTGGACCCATGTGTACATAATAGGCTCGCCTAAAGTCCGAATTATTTAATTAAGAATAATCCAAAATTCGGATTACTTAAAGCAAATACGTGAAAGTTGAGATTATTTTTATCAAAATTTTCAATTAATATTCATTTGTTATAATTTATAGTTAATGATAATTAAAAAAAAGTATTACTCAAAGTTTTTCATCGGCATACATGATATGTCACTATAGGGCACTTAAACAAAACGGAAGGAGTAACTTACTATGATTGAAGTGAGGTTGGTTGAAATATTAAAAAAAATCTTTAAAAAAAAAACAAAAGTTGGTATAACTGTATAAGTGGGGAGGAGAGACAATATGAAGTATAATAAAATATAATATGATGGAGTCACTAGTGAAGAGTAAGATCGTATTAAAAAATTTCAAAAAGGAAAATGGAGCAATTATTTAAATACGGTCGCAGGAGAAAACTAGAGAAATTAATTAAACACCAAGGCAATTTATTAGATTTAAGTCTTTTATCAATACTATGACTTTTAATATTACTAGGGAATCTTATGTGCGCGATACAGCAAGCCATCGTAGGGGAATTATAAATTCGAACCTCAAAGTTTACGTACTTCGAGTTGCTGTTGAATTATACTTGCCTTAGGTCGATCAATAAGAGATTATATCATAATTTATTTAATTGTGGAAACATGTTTTGTGTTATGATTATTTATTTTGAAAATGATCATATATATTATAACTCACCAATGTACGTATTACTATATAAAAAGGCAATTGAAGCTATTGCATCATTCTATAACTACAATAAGAGTGTCATGGAGAGGACAAAACCCTCATTGAACACCCTGGCACAAACGCTATGTGAATTAGTATATTTCCCTGCAATTAGATAGTGTTTGAACCATATAATGGAGGAGATAGCATTTATGAGCAACGAGTATTTGACTGATGATGTATGAGTACATCTTAACTCTTTCCTATAATCATAAACAATAAGATTTTCCTAGGATAAAATTCGAGACAATGACACAGTAACTAAAGCAAAATACATCTTCAAACAACCTCTTAACCAAAAGCATAAGACTATAGTACCTCATATGTAAGACATAACTGCTGCGTTCCGTAGACACTTTACACTCCACCACTACGAAGGTACCATTATTGTATTCATCCATCAACTCCACCAATTTTAAGCTGCCTCAACTCTAACCGGATATGGGCGTCATCGAATAGTATGCTTATTCACCTCTTCGTATAACATAAACAAATAGATTGCACAAACTTCACATTTCCTTTAGTATAAAAAAACAACCAGCAGGGTCATCATCCTTATAGAATTATCGCAACGGTGGGTGGTGACCAGGAAATGAAAACTGACATGTTAGCAATATTTTCCAGCAACCAGAAAAGGAGTTCGTGAGAAAAGAGGAAATTGAGAAATGAGGATTTTTGGCCTTTTTGATGGAATGATAAGAAGGAAGTTAAACAAAAGAAATAGAGAACAAAAATATGAAAGGTTAAATACTTAAATGCATAAAAATTAATTTTAATTGGTGGTAAATATGTCAATTAACTTTTTAAAGGGTATAATAGTCTTAATACTATTCATAAGAGTATTTTCCCACTTTTCATAAGGTAGGGAAAAATCTAAAAATATAAGTACAGAGTTTATCCTAAACCATGTTGCAAAGAAAAATGTTCCAAGTACAAATAAAAAGAAAGAAGCTCTGAAATAGTTTTCAACCAAACACTTTGACCAAACTAAGGGATGGTTCCTTTACTACTAAATCCGCTTATGCTCAATTGATAAACCAGACCTGGCTGGATAGATCTTTGCCCACTAATATCCTTCTAGGCTAGTAGAAGAAATTTTGGGGTCTTCCCATTTTGCCGAAATGGAAGCTGTTTTTATGGAAGATTTTGCATAATGGTCTTCCTTCGGCGGCTTTCTTAGCCGCAATGGGTGTTCCGCTGGATACTATTTGTGGCTTCTACCATCGCCATGTTGAAATAGTGGCTCACATTTTTCAACAATGTGAGTTTACTAGCTTGATCCGGATGTCTCATCCTCTGGTTGTGCTTCGGACTTTGACCTTGGATTGTGACTTCAATGTTTGGCTGACAGAGGCAGTTACCAGTTTTGCAACTTCTAAGGATTGGAGTGGGTTAGATTGTCTGTTGGCTTTTCTATGGGCAATATGGCTAACTAGGAACAACCTCCGTTTCCGTTCGGAGGTCTATTCTCCAGCTGGGATTTTTGCTACGGCTGCTACTTGGGTTGCTAGAAGTAAGGAGGCCAGAGACTTGTCTAATCTTTCTCAGCCCTCTTGCCCTCCAGGGTTTGGTCCCTCTTTACCTCACTTCATAAGGTTGAATGATCCTACTGTAGAGTGTGACATCTGCCTTACCTTTGATGGTTCTTGGAGCGATAAGGATCATCGAGCTGGAATGGGTTGGTACTTATCTTCTGATCTTTCTTCCCCACCTATCGGAGGAGGGGCTCAAGCGGGTTTTTCTTCTTCGGCTCTTCATGTCGAGCTGCTGGCCTGTTTGCTGGGTTTACGGCATACCTGGGACCAAGGATATTCCAGTGTTCGAGTTTTTACGGATTGTTGTCAAGTTAGGACGTTGCTTTGGGGTCAAATGTCAGATTCAATCTCAGTCCGGCCATTGGGTTTTGCGTGAAATTCGGCAGATGGTAGCGGGATTTCAGAGGTTTGACATTCTGAAGGTTTCCAGATCAAAGATTGGTTATGCTCATCTTTTGGCTGGTTTGGCTCGTCATTCATTTTCTTTTTTTTTTTCGCTTTTAAGATTCTTAGTTCCCTTTGTAAAAAAAAAAAAAAAAAAAAAAAAACAAAAAAAAAAAAAAAAGTTTAGTTTAGGTCAAATGTATCTTCTCAAATCTCAATCATAACTTTTGAGCATTCCATACACATTTCATAACCATATGTCCATGTACTAATACCACCTCTATTCTTATTATTTGAAATAAAGGTGTGTCATTTGTGAGAAATAAAATAATCCTTTATTACAAATAATAAGGAACGGGTGGAACCGAGGTAGCATTTTTTTTTTTTAATTAAGATTAAGATTGCCTTATTTTCTATGTATCTTTTAACTTTTGGAATAATAATCTATACTAGACCTAACAAATTAGTTCAAATCAATTCAATTTGGGTTGGATTGATTTGGGTTTGTCATACTCATGGGTTCAAATCAATGCAATTTCATGTCTAGTCAAAATTTAGATTTTTTTTTCAATATTGAGTCACTCATGTACTATGTTAATGTGAAAATAAAGAGTGTGTTTTTCCTAAAACAACTTGTAATAGCATGAAATTATACATATATTGAAATAGAAGCAACATAATTTAATACATCAACATACTATCAAATATTAATACAACAAAGGAGAAACTCACAAAGCATTGTGTGTCAATAGTACTTTGATATTGATACAATGATACGAGTCGAATATTAAAAACATTATTTGCTTTTTTTAAACACTTATGAATAATTAGTTTATACTAAATCAATATAAATAAGTTAAATTAAATTATAGCTTAGTATACTTCGTGATAACTAATGAGCTCAATTATAGTATTTGGCTCAATTTCAGTTAAAGTTGATTTTGATTTCCGAATAAACTTTACCTTGGGTTGATTTCAAGTTGGATTAATTTCCGTTTGAGTTGGTTTTAGGTCTGATCAATTTTTGTTGGTTGGAACTTTTCAAGTCAATTTCAAGTTAAGTCAGGTTTTTCAGACTCCATTTTTCAGATCAAAATTGGCTCTGGAGTCTTTAATGAAAATGGCTAATTAAACAAAACAATAACCTCGGCTCCAAAATAAAACAACTGCAATCATAAAATATTGCATGACCAGTTGACCACACTTTTTCAATACCTCAAAAAAAAAAAAAAAAAAAAAAAAAAAAAAAAAAAAGAAATTTGGGAAGCTACTTAGTCAACAAGTACTTTCTTACAGCGTTAAGTTACTCAATGACAGTCTAATGTCCTTACAACTAATTAAGGCTTGACCAATGCAGGTGCAATAATCCTTCAACAATTACAAACTTATTAGTGGCCGTTCACATTTTCTTCTGTGCGAAACTCATTTAAGAATAACAGTCTGATAGCGTGTTAGCATCAAAATTTCTACCCATTTAATTGAATTAATGTTGACTAATGTAATTAAACTTTGCCAACCAAATAACCATTTTACACACGTTTTTTTTATTGACATGGTAAATTTCTACTTATTTTATTTTATTTTATTTTATTTTACCAAAAGGTCATGTCCCCCATTAATCATTTAAAAATATAAAAGAAGTTCCCATGAATCACAAACTATCTAGATCATGGGTTATTTGGGGTTTGGACCCAATGGGCTGTAGGGTGAAATCTTGGGTCATATACACTACTGTAACATGTTTGGGTTAATAAAATACTTAGTAGCATTTAAGCATAAACAAAAAAAAAAAACTAAAATTCCTTCAAAAAAATAAAATAAAATAAAATAAAATAAAAACTAGCATTTGAGCCGGGATAATGTTCTAGATTACGCTAATAACAATTAGTTATTACATGAAATAATGATTAATCTTTAAGAAAAAAAAGTATTTATTTTTCTTTAATATAACAATTATTTTTTCCTAATAAAAACATTTATTTAATGTAACGTATTACTTGATAAGTTTTTACTTTTTAGTGTGGTCAAATATCTTATACAAATCATTTTATGATTTTGAGTAGATGACATAAAACAAGGAATACAGGAATAATGCCACTTGAGAAGTTGAATAAATTGTTATTATTAGAATGAGTTTATGGGAAAATATTAGATGAAATTAGATACTTCATATGTACCCCAATAAAAGTCTCATTGCTTTTTGTACATGTTATTAAGAAAGGTAAATATCAAAGAATTAAATTTGATTGGTTAAAAGTGATACCAAAGAAAGGTAAATATCAAAAATCAAAGGAATTATGTACTCCCTCCGATTTAAAATAATTGCTCCATTTCTTCATGCGCTGAGTTTTACGAGAAATTAGAGTAAGTACTAAAATATGCAGGTAGTGGGGTTGGTGGAAGAATAAAAAATTATAGAAAGCAAAAGTAGTGGAGAGAATTGGAAGAGAGAGAATATATATTGGGTCCACTAGGTGAGAGAAATAAATTAAATATTGTAAAAGCTTTTCAAATAAGGAAATAGAGCAAATATTTTAAAACGGCCGCAAATGAAAAATGGACCAAGTATTTAAAAACGGAGGGAGTAGCTCTCAGGCTACCCCTCATATCCTGTATGAAATATTCCAGCTGAAAATAAGGAGTATATGCTTTAGATATTATATTAGAGAATCATTCCAACCAAAAGTTTTAAGCTGATAGTTAAATCCCAAAATCGATTTATATGCTCTATCAAAAACTAAATTTTTTCTTAATTTGGTGTTAAGATAGCAATGCATATAAAATCACATGTAATTCAATGTATACAATTTATACGCAATACGGAGTATTTCATTTATCATTAATATTTTTCCCTTTTAGCTCTTTTTGAGTCGTGGTAAAAACTATGTATATTATTTTTTTAAATAAAAAAAATACAAGTAATATTTTTCTAAATAAATTAATTTTTTTTTTACTTAATTACAACAAATAAATAATGGAGAAATGAAACATCTTTAAGAGGAAATGTTATTTATTTTATTTTATATTATTTGAAGATAGAGGAGATCCATCTACCGCAATGGCAAAGGTCGAAATGTCGAATGCCCAAGTACGCTATCAAAAGTAAAGCTTAGTTTTATGATTAGATTTCGCGCACAAGTATTTCGTAGCCATCTCTATTTTTCAATACTTATGCTTAGATGAAGCTTGTCATCGCATTGCTGTCGACCTGGCAAACGGGTCATTTGGGTCGGGTCAATTCAGGTCGGGTCAAATTTGGGTCAGCATATGTTCAATTCGGGTCGGGTTGATTCGGGTTTCGGGTCAAATTCAGGTCAGCACTTCAGGTCAGGTTCGGGTCGGGTCTGTTCGGGTTGGGTCAATTAGGGCCGTGTCAATTTTTAGGATTAATTTCGGGTCGGGTCAATTTCGGGTCGAGTCAATTCGAGTCGGGTCTATTCGGGTCAAGTTTGTGTCGAGTCGCCAAAATAAATTTACTTAAAAAAATAGTTGGAAAAATAAAGTAAAGTTAAAAAAAATATAAAAACAAATCGTGAGTACATATTACTTAGGGAAAAAAGAAGCCCTAAACTAAGTTACTTGATGCTTGATATTCTTCTTCTATTTTTTTTTCATGTTTCTCTATATATATAGAAGAAGCATTTTTTTTCCTTGGTTGTTACACTTGAAAAATATATCCCACACAATAGTCTATACACATTTTATATTGGGCATAAGTTACTTGACTCAAACCTTCCACCCAAATGTGTCTTTGTGTGGAAATAGTGTGTAAACTTAGAAAACGTGTCGACGAATACAATTGAGCACCTTGATTGCGTAGTAAATTCGTTTTCAAGTCAATGAATTGTATAATGAGACACCAATATTGTTCCATTGTTTGCGAGATTATCTTTTTAATCTTACTTAAATATTTTTGTACTATTTGTACTACGCTACTCCTTTATTTACAAGTTACAACACATGTAGTTAATTTAATCTATATTTGTATTTTATCACATAATCTATCTATTAACTATTACTAAAACAAAACATTGTTGACATCATCATCCCTTAAATTATCCTACGTGTCATGCTCACATTAAAAAATTTCCCTCCATTTTTATTAATGATGTCATTAATTTTTATTTTTATTTTAATCTTCTTTTAAACAATGATAATTTTAATCTACACTACACAATTTTGAATTTTTTTTTTAAAAAAAATTAGCACTCATTTTTACATAAATGATAAAATTAATTGTTTATGCATGATAACAAAATTATTTCATATGCATAATAAAAAAATTATTTAAATCATGCAACCCACGAGTCTAATCTAATTTTTATTTTAAAACCTTATTTATAATATACATATAATGACCCAGGGCATTGCCTAGCCCAGAAACTAGTAGAATTCATAAAGACGGGACTAGCACAACTTACTATAGTGTATTAGTGTGCATCAAGTCAAGGATCATACCAATTGGTTGTTGGTGTAGTGGTGATTAGGACTACACTTGGTAGGGAAGACTCGTGTTCGATCCCCCGCAACAACAATCAGGGTGATGAGGACTACACTTGGTAGGGAGGACTCGTATTCGATCCCCCGCAATTATAATATGCACCATGATGCATCTAGTTCTATGTGAACCACCAATAAAAATATATTGTCTCTTCTCTTTCCTCTACTTTCCTAATTTCTGATTTCTTTCTCTATTTTTTTCTCCCTCCTCTATTTTCCTCTCTATTTTATTTTTCTCTCTCTTGAATTCATTCATCATCCTTTTAATTAAAATCCTTCTTCACCATAGTTGATCATCATAGATTGAATTCTATTATAGATTAAATTCAAATTTTGTTTTCTTCAACCTTCGATTTGAAGCTTTGTTAATGGATGGAGTTTTTACAATGAAGTAGTGAAGTTAAAAATGGTGCCGTCGTCGAGGAGAAGGTGGTTAAGACGACGGAGATGATTATTTTCCAGTGAGATTTCATTATCTAAATCACCATGGCTAGGTTTGAGTTTTGGGATATGTAGCTTTCATATTCTTTTGATTTTTTTTAGTGATAATTGTGTATTTTGTTATGAACAGTTCTGTATTTGATTATATTTTAGTATTTTGAACCATTTAAGTTAAAAATATGAACGTATGATACGTTTCCTATAAATACATATTTTTACCAACAAGTATTTTTGAACATCTTTATAATAATTTTGAACATGAGATACATTACTTATGAACTTTTTTTATTTTATAGATCTATATATTTTTAATTATATTAAAATTTTTGACATTCTCTACTTTATAATTTATATATCTGAACATTTGGCATTTTGAGTAGTGTCTTCAAGTACAAAAGTTTTTGAAGGGTGTTCAATGGTTTGTGATTGGGGTTTAGAAGTTTTTGTAGGGGGTTCATAAGTTTTTGTAGGGTGTTCAGTGGTTTGCGATAGGGGTTCAGAAGTTTTTGTAGGGGGTTCAGAGGTATTTAAAGGGTGTTCAGTGGTTTGTGGTTGGGGTTCAAAAGTTTTTGAAGGGTGTTCACTTGTTTGTGGTTAGGGTTTAGAAGTTTTTGTCGGGGGTTCAGTGGTTTGTGGTTAGGGTTTAGAAGTTTTTGTACGGGATTCGTTTTAAACTCTCGGTAAGCGAGTAGTAGACTAGTCGTATGAGATTTTTTTAGGGTGTTCAGTGGTTTTTGGTTGGGATTCAGAAGTTTTTGTAGGGGGTTCAAAGGTTTTTATAGGGTGTTCAGTGGTTTGTGGCAGGGTTCAGATGTTTTTGTAGGGGTTCAGAGGTTTTTGTAGGGTGTTCAGTAGTTTGTGGTTGAGTTCAAAAGTTTTTGTCGGGGGTTCAGAGGTTTTTGTAGGGTGTTCAGCGGTTTGTGGTTGATGTTCATAAGTTTTTGTAGGGGATTTAGAGGTTTTCGTAAGGTGTTCAGTGGTTTGTGGTTGGGGTTCAGAAGTTTTTAACAATTGGTTTTTTCTTATATACATTATCAAATTTCTTCTTTTTTTGGTGTTCTGACACATTGAACATTTGACTAATTGTACTGTTCAAAAAATTTAGGGTTCAATTTAATACTCAATTCTTAAAATTAAGAATTTAAGATCGATTTGCGAATTTAAACAATAAATTACTTATACATCTTCAGCAGGAGTAGATAATTTCGATTTTCTACAAAAGAAAAAAAAAATCAAAAAGACAATTATATAGTAGAACATAGTTTCAATTTTATAATTTGTTGAATTATATTAGCAAATTTAACACAAATGTAGGAAAATCAAAGAAGTTTAAGTGATATTTATTTTTTACGGTGTTTTCTTGTGTGTTTTTGTTCTTTTGTCATGGTAAATTGCAGTTTTTAGAGAGAGAAAAATGGTGATAGGAGAGAGAAAATACAAAAAAATTAATTCAAAAAGGTTTTTTATATATGAGAGGAGAAAGAAATTTTTTTAAATGAAATAAAAAATAGATATGACAGTTGAAGAGAGGAGGAACTTTTATTTAATAAAAAAAAACAACTAAACTCTAAGGGCTTCTATTGTCTGGGCTTCCTCTTTAGGGCACAGATTGGGCCAGGTGTACCTATTTCTAGGTGCATCATGGTGCACATAATACTAATTGGAGGAGACTGGAACCTAACCACCCAGAATTGATCCCGAATCCGGATTAGCCCAAAGGGTGAACCGGGTAGAACACCAAAAAAAAAAAATCAAGTCAAGGATCATGCTAAGACCATATTTTCCTTGAGAAGCACATATTGGCCCAATGCACACGAAAAAAAGAGCAACAAAAAAACTATTGTACTTCCTAAACGCATAAGCCCAAACCGTGCCTAGGAAGATGAATTGAAATTTAAGGCACTGCATGTCTGCATTAGTGGACAAGTTTAATCAACTAAGACAATTCACTAAATGTGCTTCAATCTCCAACCCGCCATCTGCCTAGGCGCCTCTCTCAACCCCTCAAACTCAGTTGGCTACAAGAATAAACCTTACTTTTGTTTCAGTCCCAATTAAAATTCCCCAACTATGTCCCAAAAGCCAGGAACTGGTTGATTACTTGATTGTATCCAATTAAATCTAGTTATAGAGACTCAACTGTCAAAAGGGAAGAAAGTATACAACTCACACTCCTGTAAACATTCTGACAAATTTTAAAACCCATTAACCATCCAACCAGCCAATACCTGAAGCAATTCAATATAATAAGATATAAATGGACTACAAGTCAACCACAAAGAAGTTTCAACACTAAACAGTAAACAGAACTTAAAAAAAAATCAAGAACATCATGTAACATTTTGTCACTTACATGGTAACAGATAAAGCCAGAAATATATCTCACATGAAAATGGTATCTAAAGTATTAGATTTAGAAATGGTTATTCACAGTGGTTCTCAAGAGAAGGTTACGGAGACCTGTAAAAGGGTCTGGATCATCAATCGCAATCTACTCAGTCTCTTTTTTTTTGGTTTTGCCTTGGATTCTGAGACTTAATCCATGGTAGGAACTGTCCCGCCATTTTTCACAATCTCTTGCTCCAGCTGCGATGAACAATCACAGGAAATTAAGGTGTTAGCAGGATTTCTTGAAAATTGGAAATGATTAAGGCAGAAAAAATGATGCTGGGTAATATGCTACTATATATTATATAGAAAGTAGTAAAAGAAATTTCCTCAATACTTATGAGGCAAAGGGACAAAGGGGAGAACAATTGACATAAGGCACAATAATACACAAGAAATTATAATAGAAGAGAACTGCCTCAAGTGCTACCAGTTAGTACCTGGAAAAGGATTTCGAATTTCTTTTTCAAAACAACATACTCCTGCTGCAACTCTTGCAGACACGCAAGACATCTGCACCAAATGGACAAAAGATCAGAGTTTGTCAAATTAAATCAGCATAAATATGATATAGTTGTAGCAATAGTTTGATGGATTAAAAGCATGAGATGTTAAATCAGAATCATAGTACAAAGTTAATATTATATGATTTATACCCTTCAATCCTACAAAGCCTGATTGACTAAGCCCTGTATCAATAATAAATAACTTGTGCTAATTGTGCAAGAATAACCATTAAGTAAGAAGGAGTACTAAAATCATTTTATTGACCATGATTAAAAAAACAATGATTGGTGACAGCATCAGAGATCAGATGAGATAAAATGTCAATACCAAAAAATATCTAGCAATTTATTCGAACAAAATCTTTGGAAGCATCACAACTATTTGATTGAGAATGAAGAAAAAGTAAGGTAAAATGTAAAGTTACAGCATAGTCATTGTACCCTTTATCTGCCAAGAGTGATACATTAATTTCCAATCATTCAATAACATGAACATATATACAATCAAAGAAATTTGAGTATCAAGCATAGCAGACAACTTACCCATCACGATTTTTCTCCTCGCAAAAAGCTCGAAACTTAACACATTGATTTTTGACCCTATGTGCACCAATGCTGTCAAATAAAAAACAAACAAAATCACCCTCAAGATGCAAATTTAAACACTCAGCAACAAAATATCTAGTTACCATTCAATAACCAAAATTACATACTCATCAACAACCAATAAACCAAGCAAAAAAATTATTTGAATTAGAGTTCTGAAGAAAAAAGTAGTAGATCATTTATTTTTAACCTTCGAAATATTAGAATTTATTGCAGATTAGGATGACACCAATCGTCGAAAGGCAAAGTGCCGATCCTAAAAATATGGCATCAATTATATCGGGAGGAGCTCAGCTATTTCTTCTTACCAGCAAAGCAGCAATGCCTTCTGGTATGTCTTTTGAATTATGCATAGAACTATGAAGAGTAAAATGATGTACTTGCATCAATTTTAACTTGTCAGGAATTTATGCGAATTATATGCACATAAATGTTGTGCAACAAACTTAAGTATTGTATCAATTTTCTTGGGTATGGATCATGTATATTAAATCAAGTATGATACAGGTTCCTGATGGAGGATGCTACAAGCTTATTGATATTCCAGTGAGTAACTGCATCAACAGTGATATAAACAAAGTATTCATCTTAACTCGGTTCAATTTAGCTTTCCTTAATCGCCACATATATTGAACTTATCAAGGGAACGGTATCAACTTTGGTGACGGACTTGTGGAGGTAAAGTACTAATGTAACATACCACAGCCCAATTTAAGATGTAAAATTGAATTTCCTAATCATATGCGAGTACCAAAATTGACCACAAAGGAACAAATTATGTAACAGGTTTTGGGAGCTACACAAACTCAAGGAGAAACTTGAAGAACTGGTTCCAAGGAACAGCTGATAATGTTTGTGCAGTTCAAGGAAGTTTTATCATATTGCTGTTTGAGGTATGACAGTCGGTTTCCTAGTTCATTAACTAGTATTTGGAACGCTACAGATTGTTATATATTGGACTTTGGAAAAAGGTTATGTGCTAAATGTCTCTAATATATGCAGGACGCAAGATATAATAATATTGAGGATGTTCTGATCTTGTCTGGTGATCAGCTCTACCGAATGGGCTATATAGAAATTCACCCTCTCCACCCCAAACCCGGCAGTAAAAAAAAAACTGTATTTATCTATAAATTATGACAGCAAATTACACAATAACACCATATGTGCAGATCAAACACAAGACCAAGAATTTAATCAAGTTATATTAATATTAATTCAACAAAATTTCAAGTTATATCAATTTAAGTCAACAAAATTTCAAGTTATGTCAATTTTAATTCAACAAAATTTCAAGTTAAGTCCATTTTAATTCAACAAAATTTCAAGTTACATCAATTTTGATTCAAGGTACAATTTCAAAGCCCAAAAAAGATGTAGAACCCTAGAAAAGTACAGAATTCAAGGTTGAGAGACAGGAAAATACCTAGAACTACTCCCCTTAAACTGATGAGCATGATTTGCCACCTGGTTGAAATCTACAGCAGGCTGCTCACTGTATAAGTAAAAAAAATCAATTTCAAAATCAAAGAAAAAAGTAAAATTAAATTAAAATCACTACAAACTAAAATGAAAAATACCCTGAAAATAAAACTCACAGAGCTTTGCTCAAATTCTCAAGGAGCTTCTCAGAATCTTGGAAAAAAAGAGTAACAACTTCAATAACAAAATCTGGGCTACTCTCATCAGCCAATTTCTGCAATTGGTTGAACTGATCATCCAAATAATGCTGCAAAAATGGTAAAAAATATTAGATCCATGATCAGAAAAAGTTGAAAATACAAAAACCCAATTAAAGTTTGAAATAATGGATCAAAACCCAGAAATTTTAACGGATGATTTACCTCCCTGTACAAAGACTTCATATAGTCGATGAATTGCCTCTGTAAGAGCTGAACAACATCCATGATTTTCTCTCTCTTGTTGAACTCTAACACACAAAACAAGCAAATGATTGATTGATTGAGGTTGAGACTGAAATAAATGAAGTTTACGCAGAAAGGAATATATCCCAGTTTTTTTCAGACAAAGTTTAATTTTAAAGGAATAAAATTGATACACTAATTGATTGAGTGTTGATACTCTTGATTAGGAGGATGAGGGTCAAAACCCCTTTTTATCTTTTTCGTTTCAGCTCAATGTATTGTGCTAGTTTTTAATCATTGTATATTGGGGACTACGGATTCGAGACATGTGCACGAGGACGGATACGATTTATACGAACATAAAATGGATATGTAATACGGGTATGGCTTATAATATGATTGGGTAAAACCAGACAACCAATTTTTTCGGGTTCAAGTATAGACTCTAGAATTTGTTATATACACACGGCTGTACCGTATATCCAAAGTTATTTGCTCATTCAATCAACAAATGAGTAAAAATAACTTTGAGTACACCCGGGTGTACATAGGCTCTCCATAGACTCTAATTGATTGAGGGTCTGTTCACTTCAGCTTATTTTCAATTCAGTTCAGCTCCTAATTTCTCTCTGTCATTTCAGTTCAGCTCAATTCAGATCAGTTCAACTCCAATCAGTTCAGTTCAGCTTTGCTCAACTCAGCTCAGTAAAAGTGAACAGGTCCTGAGTGTTGTAGACATTTGACTGTGTCTCCCCAAAAACCAAACCCAGTGATGAGTACCTTTCACTTCTTTGATTATCGAGTTAGGTGCAGAGTTGAAGAGTCTCGTAAATTTCCCCTTTTCTAACCTAACCTTAAATGTTTTAAGCCAAAATCATTCATTTCGTGTCTTTAAGTCAAAAACATTCATATCATGTCCTTAAAATCATTAATTTCGTGTCTTATATATAAAAAAAAAACGTGTGATCTAGTTTTCTTTGGTCCATAATCTGGTTCCAATAATTGTGTAGTTGGAAAGGGCTTAAAAAGAGTTCTCCAACGATATATATAAGCCCAAATTAGAATCATAATGAAAAAGTTATGGCCAAAATACTAAATTAAGCCCAAACTGGACCTAAGTCCACCTTACCTACGACCCAATGATCATGTGGACGATCCATTTAATTTAATCCCAATCCTAACCCAATTAGGATTCATTAGGAGCTTCTATAAGTCTTTAGAAGGTTCTAATCTATCCTTTCCAAACGATAAAGATCAAAGAGTTTGAAATTGAATAAAACTTCTCTTTTTTGAAAATCCTAATCCCGTTCAAATTGAAAGATGTTCAGATATACTTTTTTTCCTCATAATTTTTATCCAAATTTTAGATGTCTGGATAGCCCTTGAAATTATCTTTCCAATGATATATTATAATCCTAATTTCAAGCTATAACGGAAAAGATATGAAAGAAATACCAAAATCTATCCAAAATTGAAACCCTTTCGATCACATATTTTATTCTACAAAAGATTTTAATCTGATTTCAATTGGGTTGGAAATTAGAATTTAAGAGCTTTCCAACGACATATTATTTATCTTATTCTGATTTGTAGATCAAAAGTTATGATAAAAACAAAAATCGCAAAAAACTGTTTTTTTTTATTGCGTCGCGATGGACTCTGTCGTGTCGCGATAAAAGAATTTTATTCCGATTCAAATTTTGATTCTATTCTGATCGTTCAACCCTCTTTTTCCTTTTAAATAAATAGTCATTTTACCGCGTTTTCAATTATGAACAAGCTTGATCACCAACAATCATCATCTCTTTCTCTCTTTAAGCTAAAGCTTATTCTTTCTTTCTTTCCATCTCTTGATTTTCTAAGCCTAACTTAAATACATAAACACACATTTCATTGATTCTTATTGATTTGATCACCATTCCTCATTCAAAAAACGTGATTACACCTTGCCAAACTCGAAGTTGCCTTAGACCTTGATGTGAAAGGTTAATAGTTCTGAGAGTTTGGTCCCAAATCTATATTTTAATTATTATTATTGGTTTTATGTATTTTTTTTATTGAAGTTTACTAACGTGTGTATTCTTTTAATAGAAAGAGGTACGAGGCATCAAAGTGATCTACTATCTTTTGATGTAGATATCATGCTTATAATATTATTTTAATTCATAGTATCATGTTAGAATGTCTTTATGATTTATAGTATCATGTTTAGGATAAAGCTTTGATTTTTATTATTAGTGATATGCTAGGATTTGTTATTAATCATGTTAGTATCATGTTTAGGATTATGCTAATATTATGCTTTGAGAACATATTTTATTATAATTATGATGATTGGTGTGTCCATATAATTATTATGTTATTCATGATTTATTGTTATTACTTGATCACGCCTTTTCTACAGGATTAAAGGGAATTTGTGCTTAAAATCACACTTAATAAGATAATTAATAATTTAATTTCGGTTAATATGATTTTAATTCAAGTGATCGCCAATAATAGATTTATTTGTGCATTAATAATCAACCAACGTAGATTAAATATGTTTAGGATTAATTTAACGATTGTATGTTGATCGGAAAGCGCATATGAATATAATAAGAATAAAGTAGAGGTCTATTTAGGGCGGGTTTAATCTCTTTTAGGTTGAGTTCGTACCATCATTCCCGAATATCCAGTCATGATTCCAGACCACTATGAAATTAGTGATCTTTGGGATTGTGAATGGGGTGTAACCTTCACACATGTAGACGATTTACAAGTTCCTAAAACTTGTTGGCGACTCTTTTTCTCTAGCTTCTTTCCCTTTGGACGCCACCATGCTTAAGTGCATGATCACAGTGCGGCTCAAAGTTGAAGTTTGAAATATTCCCTACAAGTGTTGAGAGCAATTTTAAGTTTCTGATATGAGTAACGATTCACAAAACTTGTTTCTCTTGGGGGTATTTTTGTACTTAACTCATGGGTAGCTGTGTTGGGTTATTATCTCGTGTAAAGGAGTATGACAAGTGTTGTGAGGCTTTGTAGAGGATAAAATTTTTTAACTATTTCACCTGGGATAACTATTACATTTTACTGTTTGGTGACAAGCAAAATCCAATTTATGAGCAATTCTCCCACTCCTCCAAATTGAACTCAACTAACAGTTAATTGCCCCCTTAAAACAGTTGGTATAATTTTTTCACAGGTATAATTATTTGGGGATACTAGTTTCATGGAATTGGGTATTTACTTAATTTGATTCTAGAGTTTCATCGAATTGGTTGTTTAATTGATTATATGAATTTGATTTTCATCGAATTGGGTGTTATAATTTAATCAGATTCGTTAACCTTTGCCGTGCTCTCGCTCGACAAAGAGAACGCTGCCTATAATGAAGGCTGGGGCGTTGGCAGCGACACTTCTCTTTCTCACATTCTGAGTTTCTTCTTTTCTCTCTCTCTCTCTCTCTTTTTTTTTAGACAGAAAGCCTTCTTCTCTTCTCTTCGAACCTTTGTAGTATTGTGTTAAATATTGGACTAAGGCCCCATTCACTTTACCTTATTTTGTTAAAATGAAATTATTTTTACTGAACTGAAATTGTTTTTACTCATTTTCTATAGAATTACTGGTTTTTACTGAATTAAAGTTATTTTTACTGAATTTGAATTATCTTTACTAAACTAAACCTACTTTTACTAAACTTAACTTATTTTTACTGAACTGAACTTATTTCTTCTGATTGTTATTTTTGTAAGGTGAACTGAACAAGGCCTAAATTGTCTGTATTATCATTTTAATTTGTTGCATTAAAATTTTTACAATGCTCCATTCCTATTATATTTAAAATTACATTTTAATAAATTGCCGTACTCAATGCCGTTCTCGTAGCTTGGAATTTTTAGATTTTTTCGTTTCTTGTCCTTGTCCTCGTACTCGTATATGCCCCGAACCTGTATTGGTGCAACATAGGAACAAGAAAAAATTCCTAGGTAAAGGTAAGAAAAAATCGTGAATTTAGTTAGGTTTTAAATTTAACGTCGTGTTGACTCGAATGAACAATACAAGAGGGGGGTGAATTGTATTGTAGAGGAACTAGGGTAATTTTTGCAATATTAGTAAAGAAACTCAAACAAAAACTTAAAGTGCAAAGAGAGATTTTACATGGAAAACTTCTTGGCCCTAATCAAGAAGAAAAACCATGACCACAAGGGATTTTAAATCCAACTCTTAATAATAATAGGGCAAACAACCTATTACAAATTAAGACTCTATAAACTCAAGTTCCTCAACGAACTTAAGTCAACTTCAACAAATCCCTCAACTAGTTGATCACTCTAAACTCTCTTTCTCCTCGCTTCACTCAAAGCAATAAACACTCTTAGAGTTTACCCAAACACTAACCCAATACAACTCAAGATTAAACTCTAAATGCTAAGTACAAAGAACTCAAGGACTTAAATGGATTATGACTCTTTTCGAAAGCTTAAAGATTGTAATGCTCAAGTGTGTTTTTCTCAACTAAAAACCAAGTTAATTTATAGAAAAATATAGGAAGTAAAAACTGTCGTTGTCTTAATTTCCACTAAGCCACAACTCTCATAAAACTAGGAAGTGCAGATATTGGGAACTTGGGTAGCAAGCAAAACCGAAACTAAAGGAAGTCGTTTTACTGCTTCCTTAATTTTCTCAAACTCTTTTGACAAAGTAAAACAAACGTTGAAGTGAATATTTTCCATACCAGATTTTCCAAAAGATAAGCATGAATAAAACTGAAAATCTTTTTAACATTTTAACTAAAAGATATTTTTCAAAAATAAACAAGTTAAAATATGGAAAATAAAATCTTAATCATATAAATAAAATCCACTTTGATCCTATCATAATCAAAGTACTTAGTATGAACATAAGAAGCCTAAAATACAGAATTAATAAAATAGACTTCTTGAGACTCTAAGAAGCTTCGACTCTGGAGCTTCAGTTCCTCACTCAAGGAACTCGACTTCTAATTGTCTTCTTTATCCTTCCATAGCAGACTTAGACTTTGTTCCATGCTCCATTCTTACTCCAGAATTTCATAGCATAAACCTATCATCAATCATAGCTAAAAACAAAAGTTAAACTAATATGATTTGCTTAGGTTCCTTGAGTCATCATCAAAACTTAGGGTCAACACGCCGTAAATTACATTTACCTAACAGTACTACTTAAGTACTAAACAATCCTCACACATGTCCAATCACCAAAACAATCATCAAACCATTCACCAAAAAATTGCGAATTTGCCACTAGAGAAACCAAAAACGTTTCTCAATAAGAGAAAC